GAAGACGAAGAACGACAAGGAGAAGCCGGGAAATGGGAAAAGTCAGTAGCAGACGGGCCCCCTACTGACGAGGCTTTGTCGCCCGAACTTCACCGTTCCCACCAAGTTGTGGTACCGATACACGCTATCGACCGCACTCGGACGAATAACGGGAGCGAACCTGAAGATCACCCTGTGCTGGTTGAAGGCAAGGTTAATGGCAAAAAAATAAAATTATTTGTGGATGGCGGAGCTAGTCACAGTCTCATCCACGTAACAACGGCGAAGCAGTTGAAGCTGACGTTGGAAAAATGCCTTCCCGAAATCGACGGAACTCCACTTGCAATTCGAGAACGAGCGCGCATGGTGCGGATGAAGTGTGGCGACTACTTCGGGTTCAGCATGCCCATGCTGGCCACGACGCTGGATGGCTGCGACATTCTGCTGGGGCGTGACTGGCTGCGAAAATACAACCCGAGGATCGACTGGACAACTGGCGAATGCAGCATGAACTGTGCGAACGGGTGGCGCGTACTTCCGTGCTGGCGTGGAAGGGATCCGGTGTCGACACGTGTCAACGCCATCACCCTCCAGCGAGCAGTTAAAAGGGGAGCTGATTTGTACGCCGTCCACCTGGCCGAAACAACGGTCAACGACACGCCAAAGGACATTGACACACTTTGTGCCAATGTTCCTGCCGAGCTCGCAGCGCTGATTCGACAGTACCCGGATATTTTTCCGGACGACCTGCCAGCCGGATTGCCGCCCGAGCGACCCCAGGACCACAAAATTGACCTGGAACCCGGCGCGCAGCCTACAGTCCGGACCCAGTGGCGGCTGACTCAGCCCGAACTCACAGAGTTGCGAAGCCAGCTGTACTACCTTTTGGAAAAGGGTTCATTCGGCCCAGTACGTCCCCGTTCGCCGCGCCAATCCTGTTCACGCCGAAGAAAGATGGGGGGCTGCGAATGTGCATCGACTACAGGGCGCTGAACCGACGAACCATAAAATCTCGCTACCCAATCCCACGCGCCGACGATCTTCTCGATCAACTTCGCGGAGCTCGCTTCTTCTCGAAAATCGACCTGCGTGGGGGTTACCATCAGATCAGAGTCTTCGCTGACGACTGCCACAAGACGGCGTTCCGAACCCGATATGGCAGCTACGAGTACACCGTAATGCCGTTTGGCCTCACGAACGCGCCCTCCACTTTCCAACTTACTATGAATGGCGTATTCCGAGACCTCCTCGACAAGTGCGTCATCGTCTACCTTGATGACATCCTGATCTACAACAAAACACAGGAACAGCACCTCAAGGACCTCGAGCAAGTCTTCCAGCGGCTGCAAGAACACCGCCTCATTACGAAAGGCTCTAAGTGCGAGTTCCTAAAATCCGAACTGGAATTTTTGGGACATATTGTGGGAGCAGACGGCATCAAAATCGACTCGAAGAAAATCACCACGATTCGCGACTGGAAGCCGCCAACGAATTTACAGGAGCTGCAGAGCTTTCTCGGGTTCGTTAATTATGTCCGGCGGTTTATCCCCAATATGGCCGGGATAACCGGACCGTTAACTGACCTACTGCAGAAGGGCACTCTGTTTGAGTGGGGGGAGAGCCAGCAGACTGCTTTCGACGAACTGCGAAAATTTCTGACGTCGCCCCCGGTCCTCCGAATCGCTGACCCATCTCGACCGTTCGAAGTCTTGACGGACGCTAGCGATTTCGCCATCGGTGCGATACTGTTACAAGATTTCGGCGACGGACTCCAACCCATCGCGTACGAGTCCCGGAAGTTGCAGGCAGCCGAGCGCAACTACCTCGTCCACGACAAAGAAATGCTCGCCATCGTGCACGCATTCAAAGTGTGGCGGTGCTACCTGATGGGAGCCGACGTGACAGTACGGACAGACCATAAATCCCTACAGTACCTCCGCGCGCAGCCAAACCTCAACCCGCGACAGATTCGCTGGCTGGACTTCCTCGAAAGCAACTTCCACTACACCATCACGTACAAACGAGGGGCGAATAACATCGCCGACGCACTGACACGACCGTCCGCCCACCTCGCCTCCGTCATCATCGCGAAATCAAACCCACTGCTCACCGGACTATTTACCCACGGCTATAACACCGACCCTTTTTTCACCCGCAACCTCCACCAACAAACCACCACAGCCAATGGACCCTACTTCCTCAAAGCTGGTACCGATCGTATTTGGGTTCCCGCCTACAGACTCCTCCGTGAATTACTTATTCAAGAAGTCCACGATTCTAACCTCTCCGGTCATTTCGGGGTTGACAAAACCCAGAAGCTACTTCACCGTTTTTATTATTGGCCTGATTCGGCGTCTGATGTGCAGAGATACGTATCCGCATGCCCGATCTGCCAACGCATGAAGTCTTCTCGACAGCGACCAGCTGGACTGCTGCAACCGCTTGAGCCACCCCAGCGACCGTGGCAACATGTGACAATGGACTTCGTCACAGGGCTCCCGGCAGCAGCCACGGGCAACGACGCCGTGCTAGTCGTCGTCGATCGACTGACGAAAATGGCACATTTCGCACCCTGTCGCACAACAATCACAGCCGAAGACACCGCGAAGCTTTTCATCTCTACCGTTGTCCGCCTGCACGGCCTACCCTCAGCGATCATCAGCGACCGCGACCCCAAATTCACGTCAAAGTTTTGGCAGGAGACCTGGGCCCAGTACGGCACACGCCTCCAATTCTCCTCCGCCTACCACCCTCAAACCGACGGTCAAACTGAACGGACCAATCAGACCATGGAGCAGCTCATACGCACCAACTGCCCCGATCCTGCTCGGTGGGAAGAATTTCTGCCCATGCTAGAATTTTCCTACAACAATGCCCCATCGGCTACGACTACTCACTCGCCGTTTTCCCTAAACTACGGGATGGATCCGACCGTCCCGACGACTATCAACATCGACAACCCTGTGCCACGCTCCCAGCAGTTTGTGACCAGTTTGCAAGCTGCCCGAGATAAAGCGATCGAATTCATTCGCAAGTCCAACACCACTGCTCGACGCTATACAGATCTTCATCGCCGCGATATCACGATGACTGCTGGGCAACTAGTACTCCTCGACACGAAGAACCTTTGCTTGCCCCTGCCTTCAAAACTCCGCCCGCGATTCTGTGGCCCTTTTCGTATCGTCAAGATGGTGACACCTGTCACAGCGAAGTTATTACTCCCGGACGAGTGGCGCATTCACGACGCTTTCCACGTCAGCCTCCTTCGTCCTTACGTCGCCAGCACGTCTGCAGTCGCACGACCAGCGGCCGCCCCAAGTGTTCGCCCTCTGGCCGAACCCACGCTTGAGCCTTTCCGCCTTTTGAGTCACCGCGTCCGCCTCGACTCGACAGGACGACACGTGGATTTTCTTGTCCGCTAGGTCGATCGTACAAGTGAAGACGACACATGGGTCCCTTCCGACTCGATTCAGGAACACTCGGTGCTCAAATCTTATTTGACCCGAAAAGGCGTTCCCGATATTGATCACCTTCCTTAAGGGGGGGGGTAGTGTAAGGAATTTTATTCCTTACCGGGTTGTACTGCAATCGCGTACACCCGAACTCTCGGAACACTAGGCTCGGTCCGTTTCCGACGCGACCCCGAGGCACGCCCACGCCGCCTCCGAACCTTTCGACCGTGCCTGTACCCAACCTAGCCTTCCGGCTTCGTCGCCTAGCTAGAACTCTCGCTATATAATGCTAGGCTAGCATTCTTGTACTCGTCATTATTATTCCGCGCACTCTCAGTTATTATTCATAACATCCGAGGTTGCACAGTACACCAGCCGCATTACACGAACCGCGCAAGCTTTCTGCCTGCTTATAAATGCTTGTTTGTTTCTTGTTCAAACACAACTCATTTTCAGTGCAAATTCTCCCCTAGAAACTGCTGAAACTTTCTACGTCAACTAAGTCTCTCCAACGTCAGCTGGAGGCGCTTGCGATCCTATAGCTGGTATCAGAGCCTCGTTATAGTCACATTACGCCTCACTATAAGGGCGTTGGAGCTGTGGAGGTCCTAAGTGCCTTGCAGAGGCAAAGGGAGAGTTGGAGCCATGGGGAATGGAGATGCTGAGGCTAGTTCAGGGTCATCCGTGAACCCTGGCAGCTCTCAAATGCAGAGTCTCCTGGATGCTCTTGCTCAAGGGCATGTGGTGGCCAAACCGACGATTGGTCTGAGTGAAGCGCAACGCTTCAATGGAGCGAACTACAGCACTTGGAGGCTGAAGTTCATGAGGCGCGCAAGGGAGGTGGGGCTGTGGCATCTCTTCCACCCTTCGGCAGCGACGGAGGAAGATGGTCCTCCACCTGAAATAGCACAAGAGAAGAAGGCATACAAGAAACGGTGTTTGCAAGCTTTCTTCCAACTCTGTCACTCAGTCTCCGATGGCATTGCTGGAGGGTTGGACAAGTTTGCTGGAGAAGAAAATGCAGCAGAGAACGCATGGCTCTTCATGGAAAAAATATACAAGGGGAAGAGTGAGGCAAAGATGGCTGCTACAAGGAAGAAGCTTCTATTGCTACGCAAGGAGCCATCAGAGACCATGGTGGACTATGTGACTCGAGCACGAGGCTACAACGACGATTTGACAGCCATGGGCGTGCCAGAAACAGAGAGGCAAATGATGAGCTACATCATCAGTGGCCTGCCAAGGGACTGGGCATCTGAAAAGGGCACCCTGACGTGCCGTCATCCCACGGACTTGACTGACCTCTTGGATGACTTGCAGCAGTTGGAGCTGATCCAAGCGGACGATGAACGCAAGGATGTCATGGCTGAAAATTCCAGCAGTGACAAACCTGCACTTCTGAATGCAACCGGGACAACAAGGACATTTGGGCCATGTTTCCAGTGTGGAAAGAAGGGCCACAAAGCTGCCGATTGCTACTCCAACCCAAGGAACAAGAATTCAAAGGGATGGGAGCAACCGGACAAGGAACCAACGAAGGAGCAAGTGGAGATGGACAACGGTTGCGAAGCGGGTTTGCTGGAACGTGCAACTATTGCCACAAGTATGGCCACAAGGCAATATACTGCTACTCCAACCCTACAAGCAAAAACTACAGGGGTGGACAGCAGCAGTACAAACCTCATTCACCTGCGAAAGCCAACGTTGCAGAGGCGAACAACGGCAATGAAGACGTGATTCTTGGAGGTGCACACAAGGCCAATGTTGCACGTGCTTCTGGAGCGTGCCTGCTAGCAACAGGGCTGAAGGGACAGGAGTGGTACATGGACAGTGGATGTACCCAACACATGACCAATCAAGAAGGTTGGCTGCAAGATTTCAGAGCTTCTATGGTCCCATATGTGCTGCTGGGAGATGAAGGGCAGCTTCCAGTGAAAGGGGAAGGAGATATGGTATTACAAGGGGCATATGGAGAGTTAAAGTTGGACAGCGTGTTGCTGGTGGACCGATTGACTCTGAATCTACTCAGTCAATCACAGCTGGACAACAGCGGATGCAAGACCTACAGTGACAAGGGGCGCCTATGGGTGTTCGGCCCTGACTGGAAGGTGCTAGCGGAAGGCGCACGCAAGCAAGGGCTGTACGAGATGAAGCTACATGAAAAGCAGAAAGATGGTGCAAGATCTACATACTTTGCTGAACCGGAGGAAGGGAAGACAGCAAGGGACGAGCTTCGCACCATGCTAGAGAAGACGCCCATCAAAGAACTCCAGCAGCAAGCTCCTCCCAAGGCAGCAACGGTGACACCAGTGGACGTCAACCTGCTGCACCGAAGGCTGGGGCACGCTGGACATACGCGCATCAATGAGTTGATTAAGAAAAACATGGCAGTGGGAGTGAAGGTGACAGAGGATACAGAAAAAGAGCTGAGTTGCACCTCCTGCGTGGAAGGAAAGGCTACCAAGACTTCTCACCCCAAGCATGAGGTTCGGGAGCCATACATCATACTTGACATCGTGGCTGCCGACGTTTGTGAGCCTATGAGGGTGGCTTCCCGACATGGCAGCAAGTACTTTGTTACCTTCACCGACCTTGGCACACGACATACATGGGTGACGGAGATCAAGAACAAATCTGAAGTGTTCGCAAGCTTGCTCGACTGGAAGGCTGAAGCGGAAAGGCAAAGTGGAAGGAAACTAAAAGTACTAAGGACGGACAATGGTGGCGAGTTCATCAATCAAGAGTTCAAGAGCTACTTGAAGTCAAAGGGCATTCGGCGGCAACTAACGGTGCCGCACACTCCTCAACACAACAGCATAGCAGAGCGGGTGAACCGATCTCTACTGGAAAGTGTAAGAAGCATGCTGGCGGATAGCGGACTGCCTCTACACTATTGGGGTGACGCACTCGGCATGGCATGTTGGCTGAAAAATCGACTACCGACTAAGGGACTTGTAGCCGACATCACACCCCACGAGGCGTTCTACAAGCGCAAGCCAAACCTGGAGTTCTTACGTGTATGGGGCTGCATGGTGCAGTACCGGGAGCCGGCGGGACCCGACCACAAGCTCCTACCTCGAACCAAGTGGGGAATCTACTTGGGAATCTGCCCAGAGAGCAAAGGTTGGATTATAAGGGATGTGGATACAGGCAAGGTGACAGCAACCAGAGATGTCGCCTTCTACGAGCTTGACACCTACTTGGAGTGGAAGGGAAGGAAGACGGGGGCTGCAGCTGAGAACAAAAGAGCAACAAAGGAACCGACGGCAGCAGCACCATCTCCGGTTGAGGAGATGATGGATGTGAATGGCAAGGAAGGAATTGGGGCAGCAAATGATTACACTGAAGATGAAGACTACGACGACTACCCAACTGCAGGGGTGGATTGGGTGTGGGAGGTCCCGGAGCAGCCAGCACCACCCAAGGAACCAAAGGATGAAAGGGAGGGCAACCAGGAAAAGGAAAGAACTGGTGGGATCCATGGAGAGAGTGCTGACCAAGATGAAGCAGAAAATCAGCATGGGCATGATGGAGAGGAAGAAGTGGACGACGCTACAAGCTCGGACCACACCAACCCGTGGAAGCTGATCAATTCAAAAAGCAATGACAAGGCAGCAGCAGAAATTGAAGGCCTACTTGAGAAAGGCGCTATTCTCATCGGACGGGAACTTGATGAAGACTCAGTGGAGCAAGGGCTAAACAATGGAGCTGTAGCCCAAATGGGTAGAGCTGAAAAGAGGAAGGAAGAATTGGGCAGAGGGAAACGGGTAAAGAAACCCACTCCCCGGTATGCCCAAATCCTCATGACACCATGGAAGGATGTTCATACTCACCTTCTACTCACCATGTCGGCAACCGTACTTGTCTCCAAGGAGAGGAGGAAGGCATACAACCTGCCCTCCGAGCCAGTCACAGTTGAAGAAGCGTTGGCCGGTCCCTATCGGAAGCAGTGGTGGGCAGCAATACAAGAAGAGCTGAACACACTTGCGGAAAGAGGAACGTGGGAGATGGTGCACATGCTGGCTGGAAGAAACTCAGTGGGAGTTCGCTGGATTTTCAAGATCAAAACTGGAGATATGGGGCAGCTTGAACGCTTCAAGGCCCGACTTGTTGCAAAGGGATATACTCAAGTGGAGGGAGAGGACTACACAGATACCTACGCACCTGTGAGCAAGTTGACCACAGCAAGGACGATGCTGAAAGTAGTAGCGGCACGTGGGTACATTATGGTTCAACTCGATATCAAGAATGCCTACCTTTATGGCGTCTTGAAGGAAGATGTCTACATGGAGCAGCCGCCAGGTTTTGAGGACGGCACAGACAGAAAATGCAAACTAATCAAAGCTCTCTATGGGCTGAAACAAAGCCCTAGGGAGTGGTACCAAACCATGGATGCACAGCTGATGAAGGGCGACTTCGTCAAGAGCCAATGCGACCGAGCGTTCTACTGGAAGGGAGAAGGGGAAGACAAGGTCTTCCTACTGCTCTACGTCGATGACATCCTAGTGGCGGGAGCAAAGGAGGAGAGAGTGGAGGAGGTGTGCGCTCACCTTGCAGCAGTGTTCCAAGTGAAGAAGATCCCAAGAGCATCTCTCTTCCTTGGGATGAATCTGGAGCGGAATAAGGAGGAGAAGAAGTTGCTGCTATACCAAAAGAAATACTGCCAGAGGTTGCGGGAGAGGTTTGGAGGGCACGATACATCAAAAGTGGTGTCAACACCTCTCAGCAGCCTTGCACACAAAGAAATCGATGTGAAGGCAGAGATTGAGACATGGGGCAGCAAGGAACGGGCACTCAAGGCTTACCAATCTATGGTGGGCTCCCTCATGTATGCCGTCTCCTGCACACGCGTGGATATGGCATATGCAGCAAGTTTCCTTGGGCAAAATGTGTTGCAGCCCGAAGGACGCAAATGGAAGGAGATGGAACGGACCATTGCTTACCTCTTACAACGAGAGGAAGAAGGACTTCTATTTGAGGGAGGACAGGAAACTCTAGAACTTGTTGGTTATGCCGATGCCTCACATGCATCGGATAAAGAGACGAGGAGGGGAGGCTATGGTTACGTCTACCTTCTTGGAGGAACGGCCATCATGTGGCAAGCAAAGAAGCTGACCGACATCGCCCTTTCAAGCGCAGAAGCTGAATATATGGCGCTATTTTATGCATGCCAAGAGGGTGTGTGGCTGAGGCGTCTACTGCAAGAGATGGGGATCACCATCAACGGTCCTACAACAATCAAAACGGACAGCCAATCAGCCATCGACCTTGCGAGGAACGACAACTGGCACGGACGGACGAAACACATGGACGTCAAGTATCATTGGGTGCGAGAGATGTTGCAGAAAAAGACATTCGAGTTCGTGCATGTGCGGACAGAGGAGCTGCCCGCGGATTTCCTCACCAAGGTGCTACCAAAAACTAATCATCACCATTGCAAGGACCTTGTTGGTATTCGTACCTTCAAGAACTTGCAGGGGAGTAGCGGAGCAGTAATGAAGGCCACAATCCCAAGTGAAGAACGCGGACAAGAGATGATGACGGAATTATGTCACATGGTGACCACGTGAGCATCCAAGTGGGACAGCTAGCGAACCACAGGGGAGGTTGTTAGGGTGGTTCGCCGCTGCCCTACCGTCCTATTCCTATGCCTAACGAGGATGCGACGATGCTAGGACGGTGTGAGGACCGCCCATCTCGTTCCAAGGAAAGTGATGTTGAAATAGCAAGGCGGATGGCAAGGGAAAGAATGACGACAGGAAGAAAAACGGGAATCCTAACTACAGCGGCGGAAGTGGCGGAACAGCGGTGGAGCTAGGAAAATCAGCAAGGAAGAAATTGAAGAAATCGGTAGAAGAAAACCTAAGAAATTAAGGTGCTTGAGGTTGCTCTAGGTGATGCGTGTGTGCGGGGAAACGTAGATCGGAAATGCTTTCTGTTGCCTTGCAGGAAACTCCAGCCAAGACCAGCGGGAGAAACAAGCTACAGGAAAATTCTCCAACACAGATCCGGAGCGCGTTCAGCTGAATTCCGAAAAACCGAACTCGGGGTCGGTTTCGGACTTGGTGTCGGTTACCGAAATCCGTTTCTGTGATTGCCAGAATTCCGAGGTTGCACAGTACACCAGCCGCGTTACACGAACCGCGCAAGCTTTCTGCCTGCTTATAAATGCTTGTTTGTTTCTTGTTCAAACACAACTCATTTTCAGTGCAAATTCTCCCCTAGAAACTGCTGAAACTTTCTACGTCAACTAAGTCTCTCCAACGTCAGCTGGAGGCGCTTGCGATCCTATAAAAGAAAGGGGCGTTGCAATGCCCAGCAAGACGGACAAGAGGTGTACAAGGTGCGGAGCATGTAAATGGGTGAAATTCAGACCTTGGGAGTCGGCGAAGGTTTGGCAATTGACCCGTCCCGCAAGACACGTCCGCAGGAACAGCAGGCTGAGCTGAAGGGCTGCGCGATCCATCACGACCGGCGCTGTCGCAACTTGCGGATCCGAAGGAGACTTCAAGTTCTTGAGGGTTTCTTTCTGCTGGAGATCCCGCGGTGCTCCTAATACTTACACACGGGAAGAACAAATAAGCGAAATAAAACGACGTAGCACTACAACTTGGAAGGTGAACCTACTAGATTGGTGCGCCTGTTAGTAGTTGGTGAATCAGAGGCCTCACATGGATGTGGAGAGATAAATGGATACAAGAAACACTGCTGAGCTTTAAGGAGAAGGGTGGGAACATTAGGGGGCCGCTTGCCGGTAACCCTTTCTACCTCCGCTGGCCAGTTCGTAGTTTTTGCGAGCTTCGTAACCATGACTGGCCCAATGAAAGCTTCCCGCGAACAGAACGAACTATTTGCGATGATGTAAGCATCCAACGCAACATAGGTTCGCGACAAGCCGGCTTGCCAATCAGGCTCAGGTGTCAGCCAGGTTGGGCGAGATTTTCGCCCTAAGCCCCTTGCAGCAAATCCGATTGTTGACTCAGTTGACTGAGGGGTTGGGATGGAGGGACAATGACGAGCGAAGAAAAGACACCTGATAAAAATTTTTTTAAAAAATATGCAGTGCACTTATAAATTTCTTGTTAGATTGAGGATTTTATGAAGTCCATCTATTGCCTTATGAGACCACATGAGAAAATGTATTACTGGTATGCCTGATGGGATGGGATCCAAGAAAAGGAGAAAATTTTCACTATACCACAAATTTTAACAAAAAAATGGATAGCCAGCACGTTACAATGCACATAGAATCTCCACAACCCAAAAGCCAAAAGCCATACTAGTCGCTGCAAGTATTACCATTAGACAGAAACAATTAACGCCCGACTGGCAGGTTGCAACTCTGTTTTCTCGAAGCGCATCATGTTGAGGAACTTGTTCCAGGGAAGCTCGTGCCAAACTGCCATACAGCCACACGGCATTCCTCCTATTCCCTGTTTGGCAGCACATTTAAACCATCCCCTCCCGAGCCTTCTCGAGCAACATACGTACGGTATGCTGTTAGAAGCGGGAGAAACGTTGACTAAGGAAATTGTCGAGGAGCATACTAGAGTGGGGTTGTACCCCCTAAGAAATGACCTAGCTAGGATATAGCTAATATCAGGCCCTCAAATTGCAGACTTTTTATTCTGATTCAGACTGTTGGAAATACCTCAAAGACGTAAGCGTTTCTGAAGTGTAACACTACACTTGAGGAAAGTCGTATCGAGTACACGAGCCAACGGAGGTTACACGAGGAGGATGGACGAAAGAACACGAAAGGACGAAGGGACTCGAAGGGTCACAACCGGAGGTTGTGACTGACCGTTACGACTGCAAGGGTGGTAACCAAACCGACAATCGAGTCGATGTGCGACTCGATAACCGTTCCTTCAACTGTATTCTACAACTGCTTCATCTCTTATTTCTATATATTGATGTATGCTTGTTTATTTAATCAATCACTTGTTCTCACATACTAGTGCAAGGGTTCAACTACTCAACACTTCCGCTGCACTACTCAAGCATTCTTGTACAAGTGGGACTTAGTCTCTGGAAAGATCCTAAGGGCTTTTCTCAGCCCAACATGGTATGAGAGCTGGTCAGAGACCAAACTCCCAACAACAACGCTCTACCTACAGTCAAGCACATCAAGAGATTCATCAATTACAACTCATGGACAACAAGGGCAAGAAGTCTTCTACGGGCCCACCCAACGCCCATGACACTCAACCCGGCACCTCTGGACTACACACTTCGGGCGGCACAATAAGGCGCCTACCTTTGCGCCTTATCACTCTTCACCGGGGACGTTCGAGTTCATGCCGCCCCGTGCTCAACCGACAGCAGCTGCATCACAACAGACACCAAACGAGATATTGGGTCTCTAGGCGCTGTTTTCACATGTGATCAAACTGGAGACATCTTCACTGTTCAACGGGCATGACTTCTTTACCTGGAGTTTCGAGTTCGAGCTGCTGATGGAGGCCGCGCACCTCTTGGGATACTTCAACGGGTCCCTGGTATTTCCAAGCAATGGCACTACAAAGGAGCAGGAAATCTTCACTTATCAGTCGCTGCTGGCGTACACAATTCTCCTGCGAAATCTGTCACCACAAGAGTAACAAAGCATCAGAACGTATCGGAGTTACGGAAACTCCGCGGAGCTCGCATGGTATCATCTGAAGTGTCTCTATCAAGCAAATGACAGCGTGACACAAAGCAAACTCATGCAGCAATTAACCACAATACAAATGAAGACCAGGGAAAAGGCGATGCAGTATATGAGTCGCTGCAGACACTTCGCGACCGCCTGCTTCGGTGCGGAGGCACAATCACTGAAGAAAGTTTCGTGACACTTGTTCTTGCCGGGCTCGGACCAGAATAGAGAACCACCCGCTCGCTCCTTCGAGCCCACGGACAAATTTCGAAGATGCACTTCTGCGCCGAGCTTCATGCCGAACAACAGGAGATGGACCTGTTTGAAGGAAGACAA